TGCACAAGCATTCACCTAAATGTTATCCGGTAATGGGATGATATAGGCTGTTCCCCACCTTTACGAGCAGCAAACTCTGGGTATGACCCTGAAGACAGTTACTTTTATGAACACAGGTATCTTCATTCACAGTCCTGTAGACCAAAGGGAGTGCACTCACAGGTGTCTGCATTATTCTTTCCTGTCAGGCAGAATGCATCTGTTGTGTCCGTTGCAAAAGTATGAATAAGGATGCTGATATTCATTTCTATGTAAATTTAAAATGAAAATTAAGACCCCCAGTAATCTTAGCATCAGGGTTTGCTCCATTGTTCATTATGTGGATTTAGTCCATAATATTATTAGACACATATTTACAAGGCTAGCAGGACTGTCTGTTGTAGTTGTAAAGGAAATGAATCTAATTTCACCAACAGGGGGAGTGCCTCATCTGATAATGCTCTTGGCTTAGAATCAAAATCTGGACCAAATTTTTCTCCTCTTCATAGAGTTATTTGGCATTTGAAGGTAACAATGGAGAATAACTTTTAATATATATAAACAGAAAGTTAATATGGTAATGATGGTGCTAGTCACACACCAGACTTATATAATTTAAAAGGATATGAACATCTTAAGAAAATTTGATTTAAGTACAAATACTCCTTCCTTCTGTTTTATTTAGCTTCTAGATAAAATGAGGACCTATCTTAGCACTGTACTTTAAAGCTAACTTGAACTGGAAACATTACAGATTGGGTAGTTTATTTTAATTTTCTATCATTCTTATTCTAGCACTGCATGGAATTAGACAAAGAAAAGCTTTTTGTTCATCTCTTCACCTTCATTTTGCTAAGCAGGAAGGAAAATAGCCTTTTAGAGAGAATTATTTTTGGAAGACCTAAAAATACTTTTCTATTTTCCATCAGTTCATGAATACCAGAATGGACAGTACTGAATCAAATGTGGCACTGTCTGACACTTCCAAACAAGTGCTTTTCTTTTTTTTTTTTTGTTCAACATAATTTTAATAAGAATGCTGACGCTCATTTCCATGTAAATTATAAAGGTGACATTTGTAAAGTGTTGAAAAAAGAGAGGATGTACGTTTTTAATTTTTGGTTTAATATGCCGATGTTCCAAGTCTGCCAGCCTACCCACATAGAGTGGGTAGAAGAGCCAGCTGGTGTGTTAGCTTCCTCTGTTCAAGCCGTTATATCTCAGCAGATATTGCCAAATGCTTCCAAGTGTCAAATTCCAGTGCAGAATTCCAGGTGTGTTTCTATAGTAGGCACATGGAGACAGATGGAAGGTCTTAGGCAACCCCACAGCAACAAATATTTATATACAAACCATTCATTATGCTTAATCTGGAATAATACTTCTATTATCCACTTGCATAGCACCCCTTAAACAAGGGATTCAAAGAGCTTTACAAAGATCAGTGTCAATTTAACTACGGAAATAGAAGCCAAGGTCAAGCATCAAGTGAGATTCAAGTAAATACTTACCGTATTTACTTGAATTTAAAATTACCCTGAATTTAAGATGACCCCCAATGATTAGATTCTATACATGGGAAAAATGGAAAATTATAAAAGTATACATGTATAGAATCAATTCTTGTGGGGTCTTCAATTCATCTCCCACACTGCTTCAGGAGGGTAGGCAGTGTGGAGAAGTCAAGCAGTTTGCCCCCCTCCTTGTGTCTGCCCCTCCACAGCCTTGAGCCCCCTTCCCCCTCTACTCCCCTTCCTGCTCCTCCCCCCACCTCTGCTTTCCCCTTCCTCCTCCTCTCCAGCTCCTGCTCCCATTTCCCTTCCCCTTCCCCTTGCTCTGTGCTGGCAGGCTGTGTTCCCATTCTAGCCTGAGGCATTGAGCACAGCCCCACCCCGGCCCAGTGTCTGTAGCAGCAGTGTGGGCTGTGCGCTGCTGCTGCAGGGCCATGCTGGGGCCATACTCAGTGCCCCAGGCTGCAGCATGGATGGGAGCCTGCCAATACAGAGCAAGGGTAAGGGGGGAAAGGGCAGGTGGGGTAGGGAAGAGGCTGCATGTGGGGGTGGAAGTGGGGGGGTGCAGAGGCAATGGAGGGGGTGGGGAGACAGACAGCCGCAGCCATGGCCCCAACCCCAGGCCAGGACTGGAGCCCAAGCCACAGCAGCTGCCACCCCACCACCACTGTTGTACATGATTCTAAGATGAGGGGGGTTTTTTCCCCATGTAAAATGTGGAGGGAAACCTTATCTTAGAGTTGAGTAAGTACGGTACTTCTCCAAATACTCATTCCTATTCACTAATACATATTATAGTTATTTGAAGTATCCATCCCTACTTCAACAAAGTACTCTGCTAAATAAAAAGGTTGTGTTTGCACAACCAAGGTCAATGGTGCCCGAAGCAATCTGAAATTGAGAATTTGTTTCCACAAGTCTATAATGTAAAAGGAGGTGAGTTGGATTCAAAATTGTGGGGTTATGGAGGCAAACGGATAGAAATACACGTAACAGACACAACATTGAGGGACTCTTTAAAAACAACCCCCTCAAAAAAACAAGTGGAACAAAACCAAACCCTCCAATCCAGGCCCCTTAAAATTTGTATCAAGGTTTTTGGATTGTTGTTGGCTGTTAAAACTGGGACAGATTGGTCTTCCAACACTGGTTTGTACATAGTTGACCTCATGAGGGTAACAAAGGGGCAGATCCAGAGTGGGTGCATTGGCATGGGATGCAGGGAGTGCAAGATGCATCCCCATTTGGCCCACACTATGGGAGCAGTGGCCAGAGACTGTTATTTAGTCCCCAAACAAGAATCCCTTTCCCCACAGTACTGTTTCCCTTCCCCTCTGGGCTCAATGGCACATCCCCTTCCCTCCCTATTTCCCCCCCTGAAACCCCCCGCCTGCTGCTGCTACTGACCCCAGCTAACCTGGGGGTGGACGGAGCTCCAGAACTGCTCCAGCCAGGCTGTGCAGGGAGCTGGGGACAGCAGCAATGGGAGGCTGCTTCCCCCTCTCTGCCTGGTTCCCCTCGGGTGTTCCCCACCAGTCCAGGAGAAGGGGCAGGTCAGGGAAACCAGCCCACCACCACCACTGTTCACAGCCAAGCCCAGCTCTCCATGCAGCCTCTGCCCAAAGACCAGGTTGGAGCATGGCAGGAAACAGTGTTGGTGGTGGCAGGTATGTCTCTTCTTCCTGAGCCCAGAGGCATTGAGTGAGGGGGAGGTACTGCTGGGGGGGAGGGGAGAAGGGGGAGGAGACTTACCTGATTTGGGGGTGGGGTTTTAAAAAGTCTTTGGCTTCTTAGATTTCATAAACATTAGGGCTAGAAGAGACCTCACGAGATCATCAGGTCTAGTCTCCTACCCAAAGGGCAGGAAGTCAGCTGGGGTCAGATCACCCCAGCAAGATAAGCATCCAAACATTTCTTGATGGTATCCAAAGTAGGTGCTTGCACCACTTCCGGGGGTAGTCTATTCCAGACTCTGGAGACTCAGGCGGTAAAGAGGGTTTTCCTAATGTCCAGTCTAAAACGGTCTTCCAGCAGTTTGTGACCATTAGACTTTGTCTTCCCTTGGTGCCCTGGTGAACAGAAGTTCTCCCATTTTCTGATGCACACAGCTTTATACTTATAGGTTGCCACCTAAGGGGTCAGGGCAGCAAATCAGTCCCACTGTCCTGCTCCTGCAGTGTAGTCTTCCTCACCCAGTGTGTGGGAGGAGACTGTTCAGCCATTCCTGCAGCACTGGTTTCTGTTCCTGTTTAAAATCCTGGATCTGCCTATGGAGCAATAGTTCTCCTAGGATTCCTCTACCACTGAGTATGGTAGTGAGATTGCAACGTAGCAGAAATTTCATGAGCTAAGTTATTTTAGCAATTACTTCAGAAATAGTTTACAAGATTTGAGTGAACAGGAGTGAAAATGCTGGGCTTCTGTAACTATTCTGAAGAGACTGTTGACAGAATAGTCAACACTTGAAATAGAAGAGAGGTATTTTTTCTTCCCAAATGGTTGAAACTCTGTTTTGAAATAATACATGATTACAAAAGAAAATAGAAATCTGTTGAACAGGGACATCATGATTTAGATTGCAAGTACCTTTGCATAATAAGTCTAATTTATTTCCTACCCCTTCCACTAAATTCCTCAGAAGCAAGCAGTCTCTTATAAGCCTTGCTTGAGTGCAGGTTCTCTTTGAGGCTAAGATAGGTACCTGCATGAGTAGGGATCTCCAAAACAATTTGAAACAAACTCCACATTTGTTCCATTCATAGGTTGTTAGTGAAAGTGTCTGTCCTTTAAATAATGTTGGAAGTTTTGTGTTTTTTCTTGATCTGTCAATAATCCATGACAACTTTTGAAGAATTTCTAAGATGTTTAGTTTTGTTTTTGTAGCATTCTCCATCCAAATATTAATACACTCCTCAGAGGAGGCTAAGTGGTAGCATCTTCAATTGACAGAGACTGACTAACATGTTTGGATCTTGCAGCTAGTTTTTTGGTGCCTGATCTCCTGACATATGAAGTCTTAGGCTATATTCATTAGACGTTCTTCCTCTGGAAAGTGAATGTGACCTAAATGATTTAATTGTTCCAAGCTATACAAAATACAAGATGCAAATAAATGTAAAAAAAAAGTAGAGATTTGGTGTCCAGAAATAAAATGGAGAATTTTTAAAGTCTTAATGACACAAGTAAAAACATTTTTAACCTGTGCGTTTTATCTTGGCTGCATTCCTTCTTAAAATGGAAACAAAAAAGGAAACTGCCTGTAAACAATGTGCTGAGTTATGTCAGGTATTTCAAACAAGTTCAGAGTTTATATTAAATGTTTCAGATGATGCTTTATCTAACGTTTTAACATGCATGTTTATTAAAAGCACCTTTTTATTGGAGCTACACATTTGTCCACTTCCAAACTGAATGTAATTATTTAAAGATGATTTTTCATCTGGTCTTACTTCTAGAAACCACTAACATTGAGGCTAGTGGCCTTTTGATTCTTTCTCTTTTCTCTTATAGATGGTAGCAAGATTTCTACTAAAACACTGGTGGAAATGTTATTGATGAATGATTTTAAATTGGTCATTAATGATATGACATACAGTGTAAAAGTCCCTATAAAAGGTAAGAGCCACAGCTGTCTTGAAATGTGTGACTATCCAGCTGCATCTGTTCAAAAGCATATTTGTTTTGTTTAGTTTTGTTATCATGGGTGATGTGTAGGGGGGCATGTGCCCCCCGCCGCTGACACCGCTGCTCACTGCCAACTACAAATGGTGCCCGCCCCACCCCCACCCCCCGTCTTGGGCGGCACCAGTTGTTCATGTTTGTTATTATATCAGTCCCTATAGAAAATAGGTCCGTTAATTCCCCCTTTTGAATATTTCAAGAAAAAACAGTGAATTTTCAGTTTGTGGCCATATACAAGCAATACTTACTTCTCCTTGAAGGAGTGTGTTTGATTCATTTTATCAGTCAGAACAAACATGGTCTTTTCTCAGATAAGTTAAGTAGTGAGCATGCTACTGAAATGGAAGATGTCAAATCCTTGGTTCAGAGACTGTTCACGGCCCTGCATTTAGAAGACCATCAGATAAAGAGGGAGAGAGAACTGCTACTGAAACTGGACCATCTGAAGGAACAGCTGATACCCTTTGAACAGGTGGGAAGGGATTTTTTTCCTCTATAAAAAACAAACAAACCCTGATTTCACTAATATATGCAGTTCTGTGATGACTTAGGCATGGATGAATGGGGCAGGCTAATTCAGGCACAAGATGGTTTTCAAACTCTAGTTCCTTTTCCTCCTGTTGTATAACTTTCCCCAGGTGAAATCCTCTGGAGCTAGACAAAAACTCTAGGGAGTTGGCACTCCACTAGTTTCAGAGTCACTTTGCCTGAATCTAATTTTCCAACTGGATGTGCAGACTGATGTTACCACATCACAGAAATTTAATTAGAGAGCTGGCAAGAAATTTATTTTCCTGTGAATCCATTACCTATTCTTCCATTATTCTATGGAAAAATGCTTCTGCCTAAGGAACTAGGAAAGGAAGGTACAAACATGTTGAATCTAAAGCAGGTTAGGCCAACAGCAAAACAGCAGTGGATCTCAACCAGGGTGCTATAGGACCCCCCTCCGGTATGCTGCAGTGTGGGTGCCACTGCCATGACCAGGTAAAGGTTCCCTGGGCACATAGTGGACAGCCAGACTAGGAAAAGCTGTGAAATACACGCAGTCTCCTGCCTCTTTAGGGTTCTCTGATTAAACCTAAAGCAAGCATGAAAACCATTTTGTGCCACAGATCTTGCTGATCCAGTCCCCAAATGCTCCTGTTAGAAACATAAACAGAGGTGCACAGGACAGATACCTGTGTCGTGTACCTCTTTCTGGGAGACGCTGTGCAGGGTCCAGGTAGGAAGGGCTGCAGAATGAGCTGGCTCTCTTGTCTGTGTTGGGCTTAACAGGGAATCCTAGCAAGTCAGGACAGTATCTGCATGCTGCAACCCTTCCCAGTCTGGCAGTGAAAAAGGTGCATGGGGTAGCTTTTTGTGGTGGCAACACCCCAGTTAAGAACCATTCAAGTTAGCTGAGGCAGCACAACAGTAGCTCTCAACTGGGGTGCTGTCAAAGTGAAAAAAGTAGGGTGGGGGCCCCAGCTCTATGAAGGTTGAGAACCACTGCCATGAGGTATGGATGGAATGGCAGACAAATTGGCAGAAGCTCAGAAGCCTACTGTACCCAGAGGGGCAGTAGCTGTCTTTCTTGCACCCCATCCATATCAGCATTTGGGGCTAGTGCCCTGGTTGCCCAACCCCTGCTACTGTAGCTTATTCCTTCTGCTCATGACCCACTGCTTTATACTGGGTGCGTCTACACAAGACACTGACTGCGCAATAGCCTAATAATACTGTGCAGTAGCGTGTCACAGCACGGATGGTGCTAATACGCTACTGTGCAGCATTATTAGGCTACTGCGCAGTTGCGTCACTTAAAAGATGTTCGCCGGCACTACTGCACAGTAGCTCCAGTTACTGTGTATTTATTTAGTACTTGCTAAATAAATGTGCAATAGCATCTTGTGTAGACATTAGGGCTGTGCGAAGCTATGGGTGCTGATTCAATTCAGAGGAGATTTGGCCTGATTTGGCAGCTGATTCTCCAAATCAACCTGGGAGACCAATAAAAAGATCTGAATCGATTCAAAGCCTCTGAATCTAGTTGGAAAAGATTCAGAGCTTCGGCAATTCAGGCAGTCCACGCTCACTGCCGCAGGGAGCTGGGCCTGGGCTCCGTGCCAGTAAGGGGGGTGGGGACCATGGGAGGACCCCCACCAGGCACCATCCCCTGCCTGGTCCCCCAACCCCCCTGAGTACCCCCAACTGCCACCATCTCCCGGCCCTGTCAATGGCTGCCTGGCCCCAGCGTCCTGGCTCTAAAAAAGAAAAGCAAAGCCACGCACTCACTGGCTGGTGCCCGGGTGGGGGGGGGGGGGGG